AATTGATCTGTGCAGACTTCAGTCACGTATTTTAAGCTGTTTACAAACTGTTACTGCAATTCCTTTGCAATTCTCCCCTTGTCTCCTGCTAGTCTTGATAGCAAAGGGTGGTTGAGCTTTAACTCAGGTAGGGAGACTGTCTAAACAATGTCCATTTCTTCCAAGGTTTTGTTTGTACAATTTATTGTTTCAGTGAGTTAAATAGAACTTGCTAGACCTTATGACAATTGTACAGTAAGAAGTGCTTAAAAAACCCAAACAATAAAAAAAAGGCAAAAAAGCCCCCCAAAAAACCAGCAAACCCCTCCAAACAAACAAATAACCCCCAAGCCCATCAAAAAGAAAAAAGCCCACCAAAATAAATCAACAAAATCACAAACCCTGGACAAAAAACAGGAAAACAGTTTTTAGTCGGCTCTTAAAGAGGGAGTAAAAGAGGGAAATCAAATTCTAATCACTGTAGAGTTTCACAGTACGAAATTGAGTACTCCAACTTGTGTTTAGCATTAAATCTAACTTTAATTTCTTTTGATTACTGTTGATGTGGGATAAACAAAGGCATGTAGTGTCAGGACAAGAGAGAATGGCTTCAAACTGAAAGAGTAGATTTAGATTAGATACTAGGAAAAAAGTCTTCACTGTGAGGGTGGTGAGGTGCTGGAATAGGTTCCCTGGAACAGCTGTAGATGCACCATCTCTGGAAGTGTTCAACACTAGATTGGATGGAGCTGTGAGCAACCTGGTCTAGTGGAAGATGTCCCTGTCCATGGCAGGGAGTTGGAACTTTAAGGTCAATTCCAGCCCAGGCAATTCTGTGATCCTATGATTCCATTTACTGCTGATCACACTTGCATCAAGGTAACTTCTTCCCCCAGCCCCTTTCATGTTAATCTAACACAAAGAATTTCACTTCTCAGGGTACACAAATCCAAAGGACTAAAAGCCAGGTTTTTAAAAGCAATGCCTTAGGGCATACTTACACTGTCTAACCTATGTTGCTTATGACCAGTATTCAACAAGGACTTCCCCCCCATATATATCAACTAATGTTAGCCTCCGTTGAGAGTTAGTCATCTCTCTACCAGAAAACACTTTCTAGACCTTCAGTCATGAAGTTCAAAATCCTGAGAACATGGAAAAAGGCAGGATGTTTCAGGTTCAAGATACTTCTAGCTTGCTGTCTACTAGGTACTTTGGAATTTATGAGTATTACTTGGTGTTCCACTTAGTGCACTACTGGGGTAGACTGTCACTGCATGAAGATTTGTTCCTTGCATCCAGTGGCTTGGGCTTAAAACCTGTGATTGGAAATTCTTCACTTCTGCTGTGCAAGCCTTTTGCTAGGCCCTTATCTTGGGTGGAGGCTGCAGTCAGATAAAGCCTATGGTGGCAACAGGTTTTCACAGGTATGGGGAGTGGCCTAACTTGAACTGCAGAACCACTGTGGGGGTGTTGAAGAAGCAGGTTATTTTTAAAAACTACAAGATGATTTCTTGGCCTGGCTGTCAGCTAGCAGAACTACTCTGGCAGTGCCCTTGTGTTTTAGGCTTTGCTAGCGTAAGTGTAACCTGCATATAATGTGGGTTATAGCTCCTCTTCATAGGAAGGAGGAAATACTGGAAGCCAGTGACTTGAGTTCAGCTCCACTCAAGCCAGATCTGTGCAGAGTTTACATTGCAGTGAGGTCTGAGGTGTCCCAAGAATTAATACAGGGGGCTCTGCAGCTAGCTGAGTTACTGAATTACCTCCCAGGTAGTCATGTGCCTTTCTGACTATGAGTTAAAAGAAAGTCAAATGGAGGAGAGTGTGCCACTGGCGTTTGCTGAAAGTGAACACATTACTGGGTGGAACGTGCAGGCTTAAGATTTGCTGCTTCGTGCATTTGAGGAGCAGGAGGAGGTGTCTCCCATCTTGAATATAATGTCTTGGTTTTGATTGCTTTCTTGTTTTGCTACAGACAAAGTTTGCAGAGCATTTCCCAGAACACAGGCTAAAACATTCTTTATTCCTTGTCTTGGAACTCTGTCATATCATGAACTTCAGCTTAATATTTCTTCCTTCCTTGCCTTTGGGTTTTGGGAAAAACTTGAGGGGTCATAACTTCTGCAAGCTCTCTAAGTTGATTTTTAGAAAAAAGTATGCTTTTTCTGTTGTGAGACATTCAGAGATAATGACCTGATAACTGCTTGATTTATGCAACTCTTTATTTTAACCAAGTTGCAGCACTCTTTTGTGCTACAGGAAGTACCACACTCAATATACCCCTGCTTTTCTGCTAGACTTCAGAAAAATACATCTAGCTGTCTGAAAACTTGTCTCTTCTGTGATGAAACAAGCCACTTTGGAGGAAGAGAGAAAGAGAATTTTAGTCAAGTAAAAGCTGAAGTATTTTCAGATCCCAGGTCTTTTTCAAAAGTTGTGGGGCATAGTTGTTGCGGGTCTTTTTCTTGCATTGGTGGGTTTTGTTGGAGTTTTTTTTGGGGTTTTTGTTAACATAAACTCTCCTTAGTCTTAACTAACATAACATTGTTTCTCTCAAGGCTGCTCTCCAGTCAGAGTATATCCAGCAATACTGTAAATGTGGAGGATGAAACAGATCCTTGGTTGAGATCTTAGACTTGTTGAGCACATATAACTACGCAATCTCAAGTCTGTCACACTTCCTAACTTGCAAAGCCGTTTTAAAAACCTCTTACTTTCCACTCAACTCAGCTCACTATGGTGATGCCTACGTCACTTTTTGAGGGACTACTCTGCAAAGAGTTGGATTCAGTGATCTTTATGTGCCCCTTCCAACTCTGAATATCCTGTGAAATAAGATCAAGGAAGTGATCTAGATATGTACAGAGTGGGTCTTTCCAGATTTCAGTTCTATCTAGAGCACAGCTTTGCAGATAGATGAGCTGGCACCCAACTACTTGGCTGTAAGAACATGCAGTCAAGAGAGGGAGGTGGTCAGGGACTTGTTAGGCTATCTTCTCTACTGAGGAGAAGGAACGTCCAAACAGAACTATTTTCACTAGTAAGTGTGCCATCTAGTCAATGGATGGTGTTTCTACATCTTTCAGTTGGGTAGTGTTTACATAATACAAAACGAAACTTTTCCTAATGTGGGGCCATCAATGTATTTTGTCCTTCCAAACCAGCCTTTTTGTGAGCTTAAAAAAAGTAATACCCTTGACTAAGAACACTTGCATCCTGTTTTAATTCTCAAAACTACCCAGAGAGATTACTGGAGCAGCTGTGTAAAGGATCTCTCAGTTGCTTCCTCCAGACAAATAATCTTTGGTGACTGGCAGACAGGATCACTTGAGCCGTTAGTACTGCTCTAACTAGTTGTAGTTAGTATTGACATCATTAGAGACCATTTCACCATAAGCTTTGGTGAGAGAAATAACTTGTCTGTTTCACCAAGTACAATTTTAAGAAGGGCTAGTAGATAAACGTAAGAGAAGCCCCACCTGCTGCCAGTGGATCAGTCTAGCAGTTGGTAGCCCATCACTTGCTGTTTGTCTCACCTGGTTTCCCCAGAATTGCTTTCTAGGGACTAGGTGGGATAAGTATCTTAGCCTATGCTATTGCTGTCATCTACTATGGCAGCTGTATATCTTGATCTACAAGGCAAAATTAAAGGATGCCAGATGAGTACGTTTAGGCTGTTGCCTGCACCCTTCACAGGTGATGTGGGACTTGAAAGGATTCCTGGACTTCAAGTGAAATGTTACCTACAATAATATTTTTTTACCTTTCTGTTGCAGGTGGTTAAAACCATAGGTTTGCGAGAAGTGTGGTACTTTGGTCTTCAGTATGTGGACAACAAAGGATTCCAGACGTGGCTGAAGCTTGACAAAAAGGTAACGCACTTTGAGATAATTGCTGACCAAAGGTTAAAGCTTACGTGATTCCTAATGTGTTATTGGCTCTAACTTTATAAACCTTGTACCTCTTGTTGATCATTCCTTAATTTTCATAACTCCAGGCTTGTTGATCTGTCCTTAATTTTCATAACTCCCGGATTGTTTTTAGAGAACTTTGTGATCTCTGTGGGAGCCGTTTAGGTGAGGTGTGGCATAGTGGAAGTTTGCTCTTTCACTTTCTGTGAGTTGTAGAAAGCATTTGTCAGATGTGCAGCAGCAGCTTGATACTGTACTTATTTGGGTAGAAGCAGCTATGCTTTCTATAACTGGAGGAATATCTCAGGTAATGATGGTTTTAGGCCCTGTTTCTGCAGAATCTGTTGCTGCACTGATCAGAAAGACAGTAATGAGTTGCCAGTCACTTGCTTCTTAAGTCATATGCCCCAAATACTTTTTTTCTGTGTAAAAGCAATCTCTTCTATTGTTTGCATCCCTGCTCAGTTGTAGTGTCACCTCTGTCCTCAGGTTTCTGCTCAAGAAATCAGAAAGGAGAATCCTCTCCAATTCAAATTCCGTGCCAAGTTCTTCCCAGAGGATGTGGCTGAAGAGCTGATCCAGGATATCACGCAGAAGCTCTTCTTCCTGCAGGTGAAGGAAGGGATCCTCAGCGATGAGATCTACTGTCCTCCTGAAACAGCAGTACTTCTTGGCTCCTATGCTGTGCAGGCCAAATTTGGAGATTATAACAAAGATGTGCACAAGCCTGGATACCTCAATTCAGAGCGTCTCATCCCCCAAAGGTGAAGGAGTTGGTTGATACAGTCTCTGGTTTGGGGGTTTGTTTTGTTCATGGGTTTTTTCTTGTTGGGCTTTTGTTGTTGGGTGGTGGTGGTGGCGTTTGTTGGTTTGGGGGTTTTTAAAATATAAATTATAGTTAAATACATAGTGCTTCATTGAAAGCCCAATTCTTTTTTTTAATTGAATTGCATACATTTGGAAATCATATCTTGAGACTACATACCCATGCAGGATCAGTGTATGTTATCAGCCAGTGGCTTCTGTTTGTGCTTCCTGAGGATGCTGCAAGCAATGTCTAATTCCAGGAATGGCACCAACTTTTGCTTTGTTTTAATCCAGTGGTGCCTGCAGTGTGTATGCGATTCTTTTGTGCAAGTGTTTTGTTTATGCCTCTCATGTCTCTGGTCAGTGTGCAGAAAGGCTTTGCAGAAGGGTTTTTTTCTTTCTGAATTGCTCTGCTTCACAGAGTACACCTTTGGGCTGAGTAGGGTCTTCCTTTTGGTTACAGGAAGTGTCCTGCCAGAGAGTAATTTTTCAGTAAGACTGACAAAGATCAGCATCAGTGGTTACTGCAGAGCATCTATTCTTGCTAATATCTGTTTCCTTGTGTAGGGTGATGGACCAGCATAAACTCTCCAGAGAGCAGTGGGAAGAACGGATCCAGGTGTGGCATGCTGAACACAGTGGCATGCTCAAGTAAGTGTTTTGTTTTGGTCTTTAAGCTGGTTACTTTCTTGCTTGTTGATTATGTTAAGCTTGCAGTTCTGCAACATTGTTTTGAAATAGACTCTATGAGTTGCTTGTGTGGGGCAACTCCTTGTGTATGTATTCTAGTTCAGTATTGAATCATATGGTAAAACTCAGTAGGATATTTTCTACTGGTGCTGAGAACAGTGTTGCTTCCTGAAGATCCTGGAGCTATGTACAGTTGTATGAGTGATGACTCTGAGTGGGGGAGGAGGGGGTGGGAAGTAAAGGTGTATGTCAAACCTAAGTCATTGAATCATTTTCATTGACAGATGGGGCAAATTTGGATACTATACCTTTCCTGCTGGTTGTACTGTGAGACAAGGATGAATGCTGGGAGAGCTGAATGTTGCTCATTTTCTTTCTGTAAATACTAGGGATTGGTAAATGGGAGTACTCTGTGTTTATAGATGTAATATCATAACTTGTGAAGTGAATCCCAAATAGTGAATGTTCAGTTTTAACCCCTGTGTTTGATATGTGGGTTTAGGAAAAGTTACCTTTTCTTCTGAGGGCTTTGTGCTTTCTGAGATAGCCAGATAAATGAGAAACCAACATCTGCTCTCCCTCCTGTCTCAACCAGAGAGAATGCCATGCTGGAATACCTGAAGATTGCCCAAGACCTGGAGATGTATGGAATAAACTACTTTGAAATCAAGAATAAGAAAGGAACTGACCTTTGGCTGGGGGTTGATGCCTTGGGGCTCAACATCTATGAAAAGGATGATAAGTAAGGCTTTTATTTTCATCTCTGATCTCCCAGAGAGGGCTGGTATGGGAGCCAAGAGACATTTCTCATTTATAGGATCAGGGCAAAGTTAAGAACTTGCTTGTTCCAATTTTGGATCAGTAGGTGAAGCGAGGAAATGGGCTTTCACATCATCCTTGCTTTCATGACTTTCCTGACCTGCTAATGCTACCTACTGTATAAAGAGGGATGTCAGTTGTACTATGCCATCTGCTTAATCATGCACTGTTGTGGAGCTGAATCCTGAACTAAGGAGTTTATCAAGCTTTTCCTTGAGTCAGGTTGCCAGGTTTGCCATTGGCGGGTACAATACAAGAACTCAGGCTAACATATCTGCAGTGTTCAGACATCTAAGGACATTCCTGTCCTAAAGTTAATGACAGTTGTGTGTACAACTGCCTGGTTTTGAAAAAGGCAGATTATGGGGTAGACAAGAAGCAAAGCTGGATAACACCCAGAACCCGGGGAGGAGCTGGCCTGTGTGTAGTTACTGTGGACAAGGAATGAAATGAGGTCTTGCTGAGGTACACATAGTTTTAATCAGCCCTTCTGGTAAAGGCAGTCATTATTAATTGGATAGTAGGTGGGAAATGATAGACTACATCTATAAATAAACATAAGAGGAAGGTGAGAACAGCTGTGTCTAAGCCTGCTAGTCTCTTCTAATACTCCACAACTGTAGGATTGAAGGGGAGTTAAAATAGATGTTTTTTAGATAGAGCATTGCTGTATAGGCTGCTTTTTCTCCTCCCCACCTCAAATTCCAAATATTATTTTTTTGTCACTAATGCTGTCATTGTAATACAGAAGGAATTTCACCTGTTCTACATCTTTGCCTCCAAAATTCTTTGAATGCAACCCAAATATCAGTTGGAACTCTCTGGAGCTTCTGTTAATATGGTAAAGAAAAAGGCAGTCTTTTCTGCAATGCTAATGTGTGCTGTCACCCAGAAAACAAGGAGTGTCACTTGAAAGAAAAGTAGTTTCGCTCATGTAATACTTCGGTCTTGAATGACTAGTCTTGCTATGTAACCATGGTCACACAAACAGGTTTTTCAAGCTGCAGAAGCAGACATAGTATAGCCATTGACTGTAAAGAGCTATCAAGAGCATTTGCAAAACAAATGCAGCGCTGGAATAAACTGCTTATTTCTGCCGCAACTCTTGCCACTATGTAATTAAGTCTTTTCGGCAGATATGGACTAGAAAAACAGTAATGTGTGTGGCGCCTCTGGTCTGTGTGTGCAAAATTTGGGGACTGGGGACAAAGGTGAAAAAACAGATTGCGTTGTTGAAGTTCAGCCTGAAAAGAATGAGACTGTGCTATAGGTGTGTGAGCCTCTATACTGTTGAGTGTCAGTGTCCCACAAGCTTTTCTTTTCCCCCTGCAGTAAAGAGAAGAATCTGCAATAGAACTTACCAATAAGTAAATTATTTTACTTGTCCATCATACTGTATTATCTAGGATTGAAACACTTAAGCTAATGTGATGAAGGCTGGAGTCCTTAGTTCATCTTAGTCTAATCAAATCATTTTCTTTACAGTTCTTAATTAATGTTACACACACACACAGAGTTGCATAATCTTGCAGTTAAGTTAAAAGTTTGGGAGTGGGACGTTCCAAAGAGGATGTATTTTATTCTTGATGTCTGAATTGAAATGAAGCAAGGTTTTCTATGCTTGGACCCAGCAAAATCTTGCTATGTAGTAGCTTTCCATCTCTGACAGCATGTGAAATTACTCCGAAATTGTCGGCTTTTTTGGTCAAACAATGAGCTCCATAGAAAGGACTCTTACAGAATTTGAGCGGTTAACTGTGATGATGGACATTGCTCTAAGTGCTAGATGTGAAATACTTGTGTCCTCAAACCATTTGCTAGAAATAATGGTGAAAGAGACACGTGCATTGGAGGGGTTAGATAATAACAAGATTGCTTGTTGGTATTATCTTTTATGTAAGACACAATTCTTAATTGTTAACAGCTGTCTCTAGAGAAGATAACCTCCCTTAATAAATGAGATTAAAAGAATAATAATGTGATATTAAACATAAAAATTGAAATGGTTGGTTGGGGGAATTGAAGGACTTCATTACAGTCAAATACACAAGTCGTTGTAATATTAGAACTTGCTGCAAAGCTGGGCAGGTGTGTAAGTGTGAAATACTGGAAAGGCTTGGAAACATTTGACCTCATGAAAAACTGGATGCTTTTTATGTGCACGACTTTGGAGAAATTAAGGCAGAGGAAAATCTGAAATGATTAGTGAAGCTTAAATAAATAATTTTAAATGAACCAGCAGACCTGAACTCCTCAGCAGCAAGGAAGAGCTGAGAGTCTGAATCTTGCCCTTTGCTTTGTAGGGGTGTTTTTCAATAGGGGAGAGCCACGTGGCACAGCTCATTGCATGACCAGTGGGTAAAGTTCTGCTTGGTGACTCATGGGATTAGCTGAAAGAGCAGTTTGTATGGAAGGAAAGAACAAGGCTCTTTGTTACTAACCTTGCATGTAATCTAGGGGAGGAGAGTACCTGAAGGGAGGGTGTCAAGAGGATGGAGTCAGGCTCTTCTCAGAGGTGCCAAGCATTAGGACAAGAGGTAACAGGCAGAAACTGATGCACAGGAAGTTCCACCTGAACATGAGGAAGAACTCTTTTACTGCACTGGTGACCGTGCACTGGAACAGGTTGCCCACAGGTGGTTGTGAAATCTCCTCCACTTGAGATATTCAAGAACCATCTGGATTCAATCCTGTGCCGTGTGCTTTAGGATGACCCTGCTTGAGCAGGGAGGTTGGACCAGATGACTCACCATGGTCCCTTCCAACCTTATCTATCTTGTGATTCTGTGAAACAAAAGACAAGAAATCTGCTCCTACCAATTGTGCTTGTCCAGCACTTCAGCAGTGAAGGCAGAATGGAGGTGACTGGGCTAGCTATAACATAACAGGTTAGATTTCTCTTTGGGTGCCATAAGTTGTGGGAAGCAGCTGAGTTACTTTAGCTTATGCCTCCCATGATACATGAGAAGTCTCTGGGAAGCACAGCACAAAGTCTGCATGCTATGGATTTTAGGCCCAGATTTCAAAGAAACAAGCTTAAAGTAGGTGTTTGGTAAAGCTGAGCTTCACTGTGGCTTCAGTGGACACCATCCCTACTGCACAGCCAAAGGTCAGTAGGGGCCGGACCAAACTGAGAAGAGACTCAGTAAGGGAGGTGACTGGGCTTCTTTTCCTACACACCCTGTGGGGTTCTGATGCAGTTACTGTTTTTTCTGTTGGGAGGGCTATGTGAAGCATTGTATCCCACCAAGTCGGTGTGTTAGAAACAATGTGAGGGGAAAAAGATGTTTATTGCATCATATCTTAAAAATATTTTTTTTCTTTCCAGACTAACTCCAAAGATTGGGTTCCCCTGGAGCGAGATCAGAAACATCTCTTTCAATGACAAGAAGTTTGTTATAAAGCCTATTGACAAGAAAGCACCAGTAAGTATATCTAGAAGAGATTCCTGGATACTGCCTATGAACAACTGATACTGTTTCATCACAAAATACAGTAGTCTTTGGAGAGGAAAAAGCTGTAGATATTCTAGATGCCAAACAAGCCTCAGTATTTAGAGTGTATTTAGAGCTGACTGGTTTTCTGTGCAGCATAAATATAGGGTTTATAGTGATATCTAACATGGAAAAAACCAACTGCAGGAAGCCTTTTTTCTTCTAGCAAACTTAGGTACCTTTATGCTTAAATTTGAGTTTTTTCACTAGTTCTATGAGTCTTCTACCCATTCCTTTCAGTGCATGGAAGCTGATAGATAACATTTTGGTTTTCATGTGAAAAAAAAATCCCAAAATTAATTCAAATGTTACTGCAAACCCACATTAATACATATTGCCTCCCATCTTAATGCTCACTGCTCACTTCCACGCTGCACAGTAAAAGCCAGTTAAGGACCATGGTGTTCATTGACTTTCTTGAATGCTAAGGTAAATATCAGGGATATTACTGCTGTGGAGAACTGAAATGTACCTACCTGTGAATGTTGCTTTTCAGTACTTGTAAGTATGTTTCCAGAGTTATTTTACTGAGGAATTAGAAACTTACTTTGACCTGTCAAGAATGTAATGTGGAATAACTGGTATAGGTGGATGTCACTATGTCAGTCTTGTGAAACTTGGAATACTTGGGAAAGACCTCCTCTTTTCTTCCCCCACCTCAGTACTTGGCCTTGGTGGCTAAGTACAGCCCTGAGAAATAATAAGCAGTTTGACTTTGTCGAAGGATAAAGGCTTCTAAATATCTCTAACAGAAAAAGATCCTCCCAATAATTTAAAGGATACTAATGTGCAGTGTGCTGCTGGGATTTCTTCCAGATAACAACCTGGGGGAGAGGAACTTAGTTCTCTGATTCTGTTAGTGACAGCTAACAAAACTCCACAGAGGTAGAAAGCTGGTCTGTCAGGCATGCTTTTCTCAGTAGAAGAGCCTCTTGTATGTGTTGTACTTAATTGCAAAATATGGATCACAGCTTTCCACCCACTCTCCAGCAGTAAATCAGACTAAGTTTGAAATGACTTGCAAGAGGCTGATACAGAAAGGTGTTGATGTAAAACCTTCATTACATTCGCTCCCCTCAATGTCAATTGTCCTTTTCCCTTAGTGGGGTGGTATGTTTTAAAGCTGTGCCTGAAAGAAGACTTTATCTGGACACTAAGTCTGAGTGTTCAGGAAGTTGTTTGGGTCTTTTCATGTGCTTGTGTCTCATTTTAAAAAGGCAAGTATTATAACTACAACAGAATAGTCAATCCACCCAAGATGTGGGTTGGGAACTCCCTTTTAATTTGGAGGACACTAATTTAAATGGACACTAATGTAAAGGGTAGAGTTCTGTGGTACCTTGTCCAGAATAAGGTTTTTAATTTTTAGGCCTGTCTGCCCACATACTCCAACATCCTCAGGAAATTATCTTTTGACTATCGAGGTGCAATGCTTCCAGTTGTGTGAGACCTAGGGGAAGGCTGGGGATGGGGAAAGAATTTTTTCTCTTTTTTTTTTTTTGTGTGTGGTTTTTTTGGTGGGGTGTTTTTTTTGTGGGTTTTTTGGTTTTTTTTGTTTTTTTGTTTTTTTGTGGGTTTTTTGGTTTTTTTGGTTTTTTTGTTTTTTTGGGGGGGTTTTGTGGGGTTGTTTTTTCTTTGTTTTGTTTTTGGGGGATTTTTTTGGATTTGTTTTTTTTTTTACTTAAATGTTTTGTCCCGTTCTGTTTTTGGGGGATTTTTTTGGATTTGGTTTTTTTTTTACTTAAATGTTTTGTCCCTTGATTATGGCCTTAAATGGCAAATAGAAACACCATCCATGCCCTCGGTATTTACTTCCATGTAAGTGAGCGTGGAATGGCTCTGGAAGGATTTAGTGGGAGAGCACAGCACTGTGCCAGCTGCCTCTTGTGCAGGCAGTATGTGCATTAGGGAAATGCACTGAAAAAACGAGTCTTTGTCAGCATATTCATGTTCATCTTAATAGCACTTAGGGAGCTTTTAATTGCTTCTATTGCAACTTCTGGTTTTCCTAGAGACAGCCACAGTTGTGCTTCTGAGCTCAGGCAATTAAAAACGTGATCACTGTTTCCGTGCAAAAGTGTAAAGCCTGTGTACCCCTTCCCAGTTCCACCTCTTGCTAAGGGAGGCAATCCATAGGAGAGTGATTCTAAGGAATGGGTACCGGTTTATGGTGGTAAAGGGGCAGCTTGACTACTGCTCATATCACTGTCCACATAGTACACAAAAAAGGCACAAAGACATAAGAGTTTGTTCACTGTGTAAGGTCAGACTGCATTGTAAATGTGTAGTTCAGAACTCAGAAATATCATCAGGCAGGTAATGAACTTGGCCCTGTATACCTCTTTATTAGCAGATGTTCTTCTAGAAGATCTAGTCTGGTTTATAGTTTCTGTGAAAGTCTGATTGTAACACAGATAATAAGAAATTTGGGGCTGTCCTTTTTGATGAATCAGAAATTTTAGATTATCTTGTGTTTTGTTACTGCCTGCAACCTGATATTCCAAATAACCCATATGTTTGGTAGTTTAAAAAAGTAGTTTTCATTTGACACTCTTGTAACAGCTTAGGTCAGCTTAGGAAATGCTGTGGAAAAGAAAATAATTATATTTTTCTCTGAAAAAACCACATAATGTGGCTGCAAACATTGATTCAGATAGATCAAGAAATTCTACAAAGTTATTTTAATAGTCTACAATACATTTTTAGTTTCATGCTTTATCTTTCAGTCACAAACCCACGCAAACTGAGAAACTAATTACTCAATACTAGAGGTCTGTGCAGTGCCTAGATGTTCACCTGGCATCCCCAGAATCTTCTGCAACATTTCCAAGTTCCACAAAGTCTCCTTTAAGTGGAGATGGTTAATTTTCTCTAAAAGATACTTTTTCTAGATGAGTAACTTACCAATTCTATGTAGACTTTAAGTGGAGAATATGAATAAGAATAGTTTTGGCTTCAGATGATATTGGCAGTCCCTGCTGCTATGTTTAAGTGGCCATGTCTGGATTAGAGTGAAATTAGTGGGAAGATGTTCTGTCTGCTGTTAGCTGAGAGAAGAGAAAGCATGCTTGGAAAAAACTGTGTGGTGTCTGTCTTCTAGGACTTTGTGTTTTATGCCCCTCGTCTGAGAATTAACAAGAGGATCCTGCAGCTCTGCATGGGCAACCATGAGCTGTATATGCGGCGCAGGAAGCCTGACACCATTGAGGTGCAACAGATGAAAGCCCAGGCCCGGGAGGAGAAGCACCAGAAACAACTGGAAAGGTGAGCTTGAATACAGGCAGCAAAGATGGGGTGGCAGAAATAAACACCACCAAACGGTTATGCCTCAGCAAGCAGCTGGTCAGTGATCCATAACAGGGCAAGGCCATGAGCCATCCCAGGCTGACAAGGTGCATGGGTGGCCCCAGAGCTCTGGCTTACAGGGGGACTCAGGGTGTCCTGCAGCAGGGCTGGAGGCGTTGCTGTTCTTGCTCAGACCCATGTGGTCTGCTGAGCTGTCTGCAGTCCTGAGAGCTGCAAGGAGACGTGCAAGTAAAGGCACAGTGGGCTCTGGTGTGGTGGTGTGCACCTAGAGTGGGTTCTACTGACTCTTGAGTGTTAGAACCTGGTTTATGTGTTGGACCATGGGATGGTTGAGAGTAAAGGGGAAACCTTCACAGGGAGCATATGTGTACACTGCAGAGAGAAGAGGGGTCTGAGAGACCTCTTACAGGCACGGAAAAGGGAATAGCAATTCCACTGGATTTCTACCACTAGCTGCAGGTTGCTTATGATTCAAGAACTCATGCTGCTTTTCTCCTGTATGTGTGGATTGTTTGTCTTCATTCCCTCACTGATGTTGGTTTTACATCTCCTGGACTTTACTTATGGCAGAAGTAACAAAGTCAAATCTCCTCTGCCGTGTAGTACAAGTCCTGGGTTTTTTCCCCCTCTGCATCTAGTAGCTATTTGGTGTTCTTAATTTCTGTGGTGACCCACAAAAATATGAATGCTTTTAAGAAATGGTGTATCCAAAACTGAGCAAAAATTCTGAAGTCATGAAGGAAGAGCCTATTTCTGTCTTCTGGCTCTTGTTTTGTGGCAGTCACTTCCCATTGAGCTGCCTGGAGAGATGCCCAGCCAGCTTTGTTGTCTGGCAGTAGCTTGGGTCTGAAAGTGAGCTTCAAGTATGAAATCTGTTTCTAACAGGAAACAACTAGAAGATGAGAAGAGGAGGAGGGAGACAATTGAGAGGGAGAAAGAGCAAATGCTGAGGGAGAAGGAGGAGCTGCTGGTGAGGCTACAAGAGTATGAAGTGAAGACTCAGAAAGCAGAGAAAGGTAAAGTATTTGTCCTGGCTGACCAGACCACATGACTCCATAGAGGGGTTATATGGGTCACTGCCTATGCCTTGCCTAAATCTGGTGACACTGGGATCTCTTGGCAAGGCTTACTAATATCTGCCTATATGGATAAATGCACACATGTGCACATGCTGCTCAGATTATCTAAAGTATGAAAGTAGCATAAAATCTGTAGATTGTATTTGGGAACTGAAGGGCAGGAGCTCTTGCCAAGAGGGTTTAAATAACACAGCCTCTTCCAGCAGTGAGCAAGAGTTCAGCCCTCAAGTACTTTCTACTTAACTCCTCACAGAAAAAGTATTTTGTGAACAAGTCTTTCCAGTGAAACAAGCTTCTGTTTCAGTGCACAGAGGAGCAGATTTGAGACAGCAACATCTGGTGCATGCAGCAAACTGTCAGTTAAGGGCAGGAGAGTCATGTCCAGTGTTACAGACTTCAGTGCAAACATCTTGCAGATTTAATTAGAATGTGCATCTGACTACTGAATTCAGTTACTTGATACATTATACAAATAATTACTTTGAGGTGTACAGTGAAGGGAATATTGAAATTCTGCAGTTACCTAAGAGACCATCTGTAGTTCCTTAGCTTTGGCCAGGCTTGTGGACTAACCACATTGATCTGTCTTTTACCAGAGCTCTCAGATCAGATCCAAAGAGCCATTCAGCTGGAGGAGGAAAGGAGACGAGCCCAGCAGGAAGCAGAACGCTTGGAAGCTGAGCGTTTGGCTGCTCTGCAGGCCAAGGAAGAGCTGGAGAAACAAACTAAGGACCAGATAAAGAGCCAGGAACAGCTGGTAAGACCCTGTCACTTTGAGGATGAGATATACAGACATGTTATTATGCCCTTGAGTAAGGCAAAGCTATGTTGTTCAGGATAAAACAGTGCGGTGAAGTGATAGACAATGTCAGCATCATTGTGGCACTGGTTTCTAGCATGAACAATCTACTTTTGTTCCTAATTTCCTATTCAGTCTTTATTACAGTTAACAGTATAAATTTGTTGTTTGGTTGTTGGATTGTTAGTTTGTTTTTTTAAAGAGTCCTTATAATTCCAGTTTTATTATTCCACAGGCTACAGAGCTTGCAGAGTATACAGCCAAGATTGCACTTCTTGAAGAGGCAAGGAAACGTAAAGAGAGCGAGGTTGAAGAGTGGCAAATCAGAGTGAGTATCAGCTTGACAAAGCTGCTCTGATGTTCTACAGATAAGCAGAGCATACTGTGGTGCTTAGCTTGGTGTGACTTCTTTATGCATCTGTACCAATGTTTGTGGAGGCAAACATCTGTACAGCAGTGAAGAAGGGCAAACTTATGATGAATGTGCAATATGCTTGCAAAATGCCTTTCTTCCAACAAACCTTCAGTCAAATTCAAAATGGAAGCCTGTAATAAAACCTAAAAAGTGATGATCATCTTGGAGCCATGGAGGAAAAGGGGCACATGAGTAAATGATGCATGTAATCCAAGTCTGAAAGCATTACATTGGTCAAGAGATGCTGCTGCAAATGCAGCCACACACACTGCAGGTATCAGTTTTGAGGAGCATGTGCTGTTATCAGTGGCTTCTTGGTACCCTGGGTTGGGAGATTTTAATAATGTGACGCACTAAAACCAAAGACAAACCACACAAGGCTCAGAGTGCCTGGTGTTCCCAGTGCCCCCACACTAATGCTGTGGACTGCATGGGAGGGCAGGACCAGTGAAGCAGCAAAAAGGTGATGCCTACTGCATAATTGTACTAAAAATGCCAACTTTGGAATTTAAGTTCTTGCTCTGTGGAACCCATGCCTCTTTAGCCTACAGCTCTTCAGATGAAGATAACTGGAGCTTCCCACAGAACTGTTTTTCCCAGGCTGTTTTATTGGAAGAAGATTTTTTTTAAGATATCCTGCCCATTACACAGTGGATGTTTTGCATAAGATTGTAGCAGAGTACTGTCAGCTGCAGAGATTTGGTTTCCTCTTCCTTGCTTTTTGTAGTAGATTGGAAAAAAATGGGAGGATGAGTATTAAAGTGTTTGTTAAGCTGGCTTAAAGCAAGAAATGCAGTTAAAATATTTTTCACTCTTTCTGCAAAGGCCAGGGAAGCCCAGGAGGATCTGGTAAAGACAAAGGAGGAGCTACACCTGGTAATGACTGCTCCACCTCCACCCCCACCACCTGTGTATGAGCCAGTGAACTACCATGTCTATGATAACTTGCACGAAGGATCTGAGTACTCTGCCTTCAGTGCAGAGCTCTCCAGTGAGGGGATCAGGAATGACCGCAATGAGGAGAAACGCATTACTGAAGCAGAGAAGAATGAACTTCTACAGAGGCAACTGAGGGTAAGACAATGCTTGGAGGAAGCAGAGTAACTGAAGCAATCTTTCCTGGAAAGCAGGTCATTTAACCACTTGGTTAAACACACAAAGCATGATAGTTTCTCTTCATTTACAGTTCCTTTAGGCAGTTTGAAATAAATACAAGTTCTATAAATATTACTCTTATTACTCAAGCTTTGAGATTGCTTAAGTGATCCCTGGTGTTTATGGAAAGCATGTCATATCCATGTCACTGCTCTGTCCAATTACCTAACAACTGTCAGCTCTCACCAAAGAACACTGCTGTCGTGAGCTGAAAGCTTCCTGCGTACAGCCTGTATTTAATGTTCTTTATATTGCAGGCACTGACAGATGAACTGGCCCAGGCTAGAGATGATAACAAGAGGACCCAAAACGATATTATCCACTCAGAGAACATGCGACAGGGACGCGACAAGTACAAGACGCTGCGGCAGATCCGGCAAGGCAACACCAAGCAGAGAATTGATGAGTTTGAGGCAATGTAATGATGGTCATAAGAAGAAAGCAGGACTGTGGGAAAGGCAGATCTTAATGCTGCGTTCTTATTTTTGGGGTTTTTTTTCTGTTGTGTTTTGGGGTTTTGAGAAGGGGTCACTGTATGACACTTAACAAATGTTCTCTAAACCCAGAGGTGTTTGAATCTCCCTTTTTATTCTGTACCTTCTGTGAAATTTGGTATAGTTAAAATTTTATCGTACCACTGGTCCTGGTAACTTGCTCATGCCTTTGCTTTGTGCCAAAAGGCCTTATGTCACATCTCTCTTTCAGCAAGACAAATTTTAACAGGCCATGCTTCCAGTTGAAGATGGGTCCTGTGCAGGTGCTGGATTCAGCTTGGTCTAAAAAAATAAACATCTGTGGGTGAATTTTGTGCCATATTTTTATTTACAGTCTAAAGTCAACAGTTGAGAAGACAGGTTTTAAAACTCAGGATTTGCAAGCACCTGTATGTATGTTTGCATATATGTGCACGTGTGCTTGTACACCCTGTTTTTGACTTGGTCTTGATGCCCACCATTCTCCCTCCTTCTTTCTCCTCCCCCAAAAGAACTGACAACACCTCAGGACTAATTTGTGTAGAAATTAGGCTTTTTCTGGTTGCTGTTCTCAACTGGAAAAATTCTGCAGTGATGGCTCAGAAGTATGGCACAGGGACACTGATACCCTCTTCATGTAAGAAGTAGCAAGTACTCTGTTGGAATCTAATACACCACTGTGTTTGCATTCCAGCTTCATTGTTGATCAGTTATAGAGTAGTATTTATATATATATAAAACATGCAATATATGGATTGCATTACTAGTTTAAGGGAAATAGTTTTCCTCTGTATATTTTGTTACTTTTCAGATTTAATAAAACTTGCATCTGTAAAAAAGCATAAACAACACTGTAGCCTGTTACAGTGCAGCTGATTATTTACTATAAAGCATTATTTGTAAAGATCATTTTTTTACTTAATGAAAACTGTTATATGTACACATGATCCACTATATACAATTTTACTGCACCTATTTTTCTAACAAATTTTCTAATTTTTTTTTAAATGTTTGATTTAAAGTTTCAGACTCCAAAGATGAAGGGACTGCTTGTTTATATCACAGTTAGATTCTCTCTAGCAGAGAATATTTCTGTGACCATTCCTTCCCCAATCTCCCCCTTTCCTTGAAAATCTGTTAGAAAGTGAGATACAGTATGTTGTCACCTCTTCTCTTCCATTTACAACATCTATGCTGCTTTATACTTGAGTTGAATCTTGTGTGGGTTTTTTTTATTTGCAGCAGCAAACATCTAAATAAAAGATCTGCAAAGTAACAAAGGACAATAGAGTCAAGTGTTTCTCGTGCGGGGTGTGTTTGTGTAAGGTGGGCTACTGCTCTTTCAGTTTCTGAGCTTAGCCTATGAGTCCCTGTGTCTTAAGGATTTAAGACTTAAAAAGCCACACTGACCTGGAAAGGAAGGGGAATACTTGCAGTAGCAACTAAAACTATTAACCCAGCAGCACTGTTTGTTGTATATATGAAGTTTCTGCTGACTGTAATGCTACATCTGATGCAAAGCAAACTGACACAGTAGTTCAGCCCTAAGCTTGCATTTCCACCAGTCCACATGAATAAATGATAAACTTAGCTAAACTCTTGTCCTGTGCTGTATGCCATATGGATCAGACTTGTTACAGTGGCAGCTGATAAGAAGGAACTTATTACAACCACACTTACTTTATTAGCTGGTGTCCCACGCATTTAACTTTCTAAGCACTGTGATACAGCACACATTTGAGTGTGTGTGGTTTGGCCATAGGCCAAAGATTTTTAGGATCACTTGAAATAGTAACAGCACTGTAGACAATTCTGAAACAGAGGGATTAGCATCACCCATTTGCAGCAAGCAGATAAAGATAAGCTAGTTTTCAATTCTGTGTATAAAACATCAACATCAGAGTGAAAGCAATGAACTTTTCTTGCAGTAACAGTTGTTCTCTCTAAGAAGTATTCCTAACTGATTAAATTAAATCATGACAAGTTCTGCTACTCAGAAATGGAAAACTGTGTATCACCTGGCTAATGTTGCCTTGTCAGCACAACACATCTCAAACTGAGGCTGTCACTCCTGAAGAAACAATACTTACACCTTATGCTCCAGCTAGAGACACAGGTTAACATCTTAACTTTGAAAGAAATACAACATTCAGAATGTCACACAGTTTCAAATACACAACTATTCCCAAAAAGCTGGAGTAGGTGCTGTTGCAGTGTTCCTTTCCCCAGACCTGAAACACATATGTACCACTTGAATCAGAACATCAGACAAAAAAAGTTGTTGTGTGATAGTCTTTCATGATTTAAAGTTTTCCTTAGTTGAATGCAGTATAAGTGTAAAGTCCATCCACATGTTTGGGTTGTAGAGCACTTCTTGCCATTGGAGCACTGACTGAGAAATAAGGTGTGTAGAGCCAAGCAATTCCCCTGCAAGAAGGCAAAAAGGAAAGATCAGAGTTACTTGGCCTTACCCAACTTCTGGCCTCCAATGGATTAGGTAACAAAACAACCTGTTCTCCAACTTCTACGCAATTTCAGCTGTTTCGTAGCTCCTAAGGCATTAATTGGATTAAATTATATTTATACTTTTGAAGTATTATTTACATCCTGTTAAACTAGAATGACTCTCTGAAGATCTCAGCCTGCAGCAAAGAAAACATTTTTGGCTATATGACTAAAAGCAGAGGAGCAAGTGTGCATACTATGCAGAATGGCACCAAGTCTCTTGCTGTTCATCTCCAGCAACATTAATGCGCTACTGGGCTTAGGGCTTGGATCACTTAAATTCAGGTAGTCTCCCTGCTCTAACAGAATGGAAAACACTGTGTAGGATACTCAAAAAGAGTTCACGAGGAAGTCTGCATGACATCACTAGTGATAATACTCCTCGAAAATGCATTCTGATACCAAAACAACATGACAGCCTCAATATTTTTGAGCCTTTCATGTCAAATACTGAAACTACAGCACTGTCTCTCCAAGAGGACAGGGGTGGGAGACTCCATTGGACAGCCTTCAGTTGTCACTGCTTCCCTGCTCAAACACCAGTGAAACTTACTCAGTGAGCAGAGGGTTTCTCAGACATTTCTCAGCCTTGAGAAAACAAGCTCATTCTTATGTTAGAACAGAGCCCAAAATGCAGACATGCAATAACCCCTTCTGAGCAAGTTTCACCTTCTGTCTCTCATTGATTGCATTGATTTGTGTTTGTGAAATAATAAGCACAAATATAAGCAAGGTTGCAATCTACTAGATCATTAGTTCTTGTGCTTCCTTTTGATGATATATTTAAATTAGCCAATTCATAGAAAACAGTTAAAGGAATGTCTTTAGAAACATACAGAGCTCAGAGTTAAAGCTATTACAACAATTTCTGTGCCTGTCTTGGCATGGCTCTGACCCTAAAAGTCACTATGCTAACAACTGACTTTCCTGCAAGTTCCCACTGACAACCCTGAGCTTCCACACAGACCTGAACTAAAAGCACATGAATCAGTTCTTGCAGGATCAGAGACCAAGAGTGCAGGTTGCTTAGGACAGGCTGTGACCGTATGGGTATGCACATTACAGGAGGTAATAAACAGCACAGTGCAATTATTATTGCCTAAGATGTAAACTAAATTAACTTCCTCCCACATTACCTTCAACTTTTAGTGCTAAAGAGCTTACTTGCACCAAGCTTGGCTCCTCCTAGGAATTGATCACTTGAGCTGAAAGTTGACTGGTCCCACACAGTCAAGTGCAGACATGATTGCTGTAGCTGAGCTGGGGTTACACCATCAAAGACAAACAAGTGTTTCCACTGTGGACAGGCTTCTTTCTTCAGGACAGGAGACTTTAGCTTTACCTCTGCTTGGTCTGGAAGGATAAGACAACTTCCCCAAAACAATATGAGTTCAACAAGGTTACTGATTTCTCAACCAGAAAGCAGAACAATAATCAACCAAGACCCTTTGGTCTGCCTTAAATAGCAAAGTTCAGCTTAAGTGCAAGGTAGAGCATGGTGCTAGTGTGTTTGTTTTGAGACTTGTTCATTTCCTGCCTGCCTTTAGTGTGGGTGCAAGTGGGCTCTTCTGCTCTGCTTTTATTTTGCTGTCACTTGCTGCTCAAAGAGTCTTTACTCCACATGCTGTTATCTAATACTGTCTGAAACCTGCCTTTCAGTAGATAAAATGTTCACCCATTTCACTGAAGATAGGTGCCACAGCAGGTGAAATGGCTTTATGAGACGTAAGTTTATCCTGGTATCATACTTCTAATGGCATCTGATGCCTGACAGCAAGAAAGTAAAACGATCCCACATACAAGCTACTCAGCACACTGAAGAAAAATTCAACCCTTTCTCTTTCAAAATGTCTGGAACAAAGAGGACAAAAGTTCCCAATGTATCCAAAGCTATACTTAATTCTGCAAAGGCACAGCTGAAACTAGGAATGACAATACCCTCTTCATTTCCACTTTTTTTCTTCCTCTCCTAATATCTAAAAGCAGATACTTAAACTAGTGAACTCCAAATTTTAATGACATCATTAAATTCTAAAGTTCAGTGACATTTTCTATTTGAAGTATTAGGTCTCATACTTACCCTTTAACAAAGGAGTTTAGCATTCCAGCAGATCTCAGCATGGGCAAGTTCTTAGCCCCAAATACCATAACCTGAAGCTGGCAGCTGGGAACTCCTTGGTCTTTGTTTCCTGAAACAGGAGCACTTATCACATGAAATACCCAGTTAGTTCAGCTCATAGCTTAAGATGCTGCTATAAGTAAGTAGGGGAATGCTTAAGTGGTACTACTGAAATAAGGAGTCATAAGGCTGTACTAGGAGCCTTTGAAAGATTTTAACATGTTTGTAGAGTGTATGATTCACACAGACAAAAATAAAACCAAGCAATGACCAGCAAGCTGCTTTGTGATTCCTGTTCCAAACACAGAGCTTTCTGTTGTACTTGTGAAAAAGCAAATACAGGACAGTACCCACAGAAGCATTTCTCTGGAATTGCCAAACCTGTGGTGTGCTACTGCTCCTCTACCACAGCTCTAGGTAGAGAGCAGAGAGCCAATACACAGGCATGCAGAGGGAGGCAAAATGGAAGAAAGCAAACTAGTAAATTTGGGGTCACATTTGGAAAAGAAAAGGGAACAAAAAAAAATCCCAATCAGCCAATTAGAGCTTCCTATTGGTCTCTACCTGTTGCTATGGTCCTGACAGAGAGAGCATTGCTAATGCTCTGAACGTCTATACACCTCACTATGATCTAGGCAGGTAAGGAAAATGAGGTTTTCCTATCCCTTCCTCACAGTGTTTATTTTGCTCCACCAGCAGCTGCTTTCTCTGACACAGTACAGCAATACTTAATGTACCTTTCAAGTTTTCATTACCAAAAAACGGAGTCCTGACTATACATTTTGAACCTAACACCTTCCAAGTGAAGCAATCTCTCTAGAAAGAGACCACTGGGGGAAGCCACAGATGCTGGTCTGGTACCCGTGCAGACATTTCCCTTCCACTTTTCCCCTAAATTGGCAGTCTCTGCCTTGGACAGTAAAACTGTTGCTTTGCCTCCAGAACAACTTCTACTGGTAACACCACAACAGGCACAAGTTTGCAAAACAGCTGAATGCAGCACACTGCTATCTTTTAAATGTACAGCTTTTGTTGGCTTAAAAAAGAACAAAGTTGTCAAAGGTTTAAATTTTAAATAATGTAAAATATAACATACCATAAAGCACCATTTGCTATAGCTGTTAAAAAAAAAACAACCATACAGGAATGTTACATGGACACGTTGCCAGTCCTTCACTGGTCTAGATTCTTTTCTAGCCAAGGATTCACAGAATCAGAACTGTTTATGCTGGAAAAGATCTCTGCGATCATTAAGTGCAACTGTTAAGCATTCATGTATGCTGAAACATTTTATACCTTCACACTGGAAATTTTTATACTGGGCTGGTACCGACAGTCTTGCAGACACAACGAGTTCACCACTGTACTGGATAAGATCATCTTCAGGCTTTTCAAGCTGAAGAAAGGGACATACAGAAATCTGAATTACTGCAACCATTCGCTTCCACCTCTTTTGCAGCTTATCTGCGTTTGCAACATGTCTTACTAATGGGCTGGACTGACAGCATTTTTCCTCAGCAAACACAGAAGGGTGATCTTTTTCATAGCTTTCACTCAATCCTGCTCGTAAGCACAAAAACCAAGAATCACCTTGGGCTTGAGCTGATACCAGTCAAACAACAGCATGGAGTCCTCTTCAAAATTCCATGCTGCCAGAGGAATCACCACTTCCCCCAAAAACACCCTGTATTTGAGTGCTCCTGCGTGCCACACAGAGATCTGAAGCTGCCGACTTCTCAGCTGGGAGTATTCAATCTTGTACTAGAAAGATAAACAGCATTTACAAAGCAATACACAGGATGAACACAGCCCCATGCTCATGACCTGCTCACAGGAGGCCCAGCCACAGCACAGCTGAAGGCTTCTGGGTGCAGACAGAACCAGTGTGTTTGCAATCTGCACATAACCCTACTACTTAAATGCTAAATACTCGTTCAAATGTGAAACAACATTCCAGGAATACCTTGATCTGCCTTGCTAAAGATTTTGATAATTAATTCAGAACTTTAAACAAGTCTTGACCATTTTTGCTGGTTTTTTTTTTAATACTTGTTTTATACCCCCAACAGCATTTGGCTGCTCTGGAGGCCAGTTCAAGATTAAGACATCTAATGATGCTGCTAAAACTCCCATTCTGGTCAGTGAACATCTACTTACTGCAGTCAGTAGGGACAAGGAAGTAATTCAGCTAATTGCTAATTAAAGCCTTGATGCACCCCCATAGTTAGAGCCCTTTGAGACATTGTTGGGTATCTGCTATACCCACATGACACTGGCAAACATGATACCCAGCCCACAGGTGACCTGAACCCACCTGAACTGAAAGCTGGAGGCAATGGCACAGGTGAGGAAATCACTACCTCTATTTAGGCTGCTGAATCACAAGTTGGGTGTAGGCTCAGTGGCTAATCACCCTCAGTCACCCTGAGCTCCAGTGACTCCCAGGACCACTTGCACAGCTCTTCTACATGCACCTACCTCTAAATGCAGGTGCCTTAATTTGCAGCTGAATCCCAGCAATTTGGATCTGTGTCATGATGTAGTTTTCCTGCACTAGTGCTATGCACTTTTGACCATTTTTGGCACTCTGGATAAACAAATAATTAAACTAATTGTAAAGAGGTCTAAGTAAATACCTTTAGAGTTTATGTAGCCAGCTCAGGCATGGCTCTCACTCTCCTTTTATCAGTTCCACATGACTATGCCATTGGAAAGGGACTGTAAAATTGGGATCAATGGTGCCAATTTCAGGCTCTTATTTTTCTCCCAACTTAAACCCTACACACAGGCTTTATATATAACCCAGAAGTGTTTTGTTACCACCAAACTTTATGGTCTTTTCAAACATTTTGCCTTTTTCACTCAATACTAATTCTTGATGTTCATAAACACCAAGATTGGGGCTAACACTGACAATTTTGTGCAATTCAAGAAGCAGGACTACAAGTTTCTCCCTCCATTAACTTTGTTGCATATCTCTTCCAAGACAATGTTACTGAAGAACTCATCTTGCATGCTGCTGCAGCTTGCCAAAGCACCCCAAAAAAAATTGGTTTGTAGTGATCTGGGCACAAAACTGGAGCTGGGAACAACCAGACTAATCCAACATCTCCCAGATGGCATATATCATTAAGTGTCTGTGAAATGAGAATAATGGCTTTTATTTCCTACACACAATTCTTATAAGGATGCAAGAAGTAATATTGCAAGGCATTAAGGAACTGAAATCATAACTACTGTTGTCTGGTGGGATTATTAATATTTGAAATTGAGCACTACAAAGAAATGGCCTGGCACCAGTTGCACAGAGCAAAGGAAGCAGAACTCAGCTAGCACTCAGCTAACTGCGGAGAGGGTTAGCTGACCAAAGGGGTATCATCACTTGAAAGGGATACTTGTGTGAAATACTGGCTGTTCTACAATACACCCAGTTCCTGAACGTACAAAGAAAATGTGCCTATGGAAGGCACCTTGCTTTTGTCACAAGGTAACTCAGAATAACATGGTATTCATTGAAGGTGCTTTCTTGGCCAAAGGCAGAGTCTTCTATTGGTTTGTAATTTATTGTGGTAAATTTTCTCTTATTTGGACTGAAAAACAACTTCTAAAATTCTTGTCAGCGACTCCTGAATTTGCCCTATCAGGTCAATTCACAACTTGCAGGATTGTACATGACAAAAGGAAACATTATCATGGTAAAGCACACTTATGGCACACTGTACCTTCAAAGTCTCATCGAACTCAGGATCCACTGTGCTCTTTTTGACAGCTGTCTTCCGCTTACTCCGAGGAGATTTATCAGGCAGTAAATAAACTTTAACATACCTTGGAGACAGAGGGGAAGATAAATGGAAAGTGATTAGAAAGGGGGGTGGGGGGTGGGTGGGTGTGTGTGTCAAATGAATTAAAAGAAAAAATTGTATGTGAGGGTTTTTTTCTTAATTTTTACACAATTTTATTGACTTTGTAATTTTCCAAGCAACAAAAAGGACATAAATGTCAGTTTTCCATTCTCAATATATGCAGACAGACTATAAGGATCCCTGGAAATCACTGAGCTAATGTGTCTCAATTCTATCGTAATTGGGAAAGGATTAGGATCTGAACAGGATTATTCTGTTTTCATACTCTTGGCCTCTGATGTAATAGCCCCTAAAGAAGTCACCTTGTCTGTTGTAGTGACAGTTTAACCATGAAAACAAACAGCATACTATGTGCACTAGAGAAAAAATAAAATGTAAACTCAATCAACATTTGGATCATTGCTGCTTGTTCATGAAGAAAATCTCTCACCTGCACACCACCAGGTACTGTGTAGCAAAAAAAAAAGGTATTGTCATACAAATAATACATAATAATCCCTACCTCTTACAAATTCCAATTGTTGTAATAGCCACGAGAGTGAAAAATGGGAGTTAGTCTGAAGTGCTCAAAATTGCCCTAACATTGGTTCAAGGAAAACCAGTTAAAAAAGTTCTGGAAGCTAAACTGGACCAATATCTAGCACCAGTGTTTCCTACCCAAAGCGTAGGTTAAGTGAACACTAATACTATTGCCCCAATATAATTTCAGTAGGCTGCAATTATGTTACAGCTTCAAAACTAAGAATATTATCAGTAGAAAGTGTTTGCTCACAGCTTGTCAGGGAAAGGAGTGATTGTATACATAATACTAAATATTTTTAAACTGTACTTGTATATATTTCAGAGATTATGATTTAAACCAATTTTAAAACAACCTCTTGGTTAACTTACCAGATAAATAAAATCAGCTGCATCTCATATCATCAGTGCAGAATTTACACATTTTCCCTACTTTTTCCAAACTTATCCATAGGTAAAACTATTTAAAATATACAGGTACAAGAAGTTTTAGCCTCTTGATGAAATTAATTAAAAAGTAGCCAGTCAGACTTCAAAACAGAAAATAAGCTAAATAATTCAACAGCTTTTAAACATCTGTTAAAAGTCTACTTTCCAGCAAGCACATTAAGTGAATTTACTGTGCTTTTCCTGTTGGCTTGGAAACCTACAGAAATATATAAATATATACCAATAGAGAACATAATGTTCACTGCACAGCGCTTCCCACACTGGCTTTCAGGCTTCCTGCAACCATTTGCTTGGCTTCAATACCAGCAGACTTAAAGAACCTTGACCCATCATCTTCTGAGGGGCTCCCAAACCACCCTGCTCTCTCCACAAGCTGCTGTTCCAGCAAGGCACCACTCATCACCAAGCTTGTCCTTAGCAACGTTCTCTGCAAGGTGCACAAGCACCACTGTCCTGGGTGAAGGTGCCTCCAAGTCCACAATTCTAACGTGCCCACTCAAATGCTCAAACAGTGTGACAGCAGGGGCAAGACCAGGTAGCTGGGTATTCTACCTGGTGATGTTCTATCAATGGTTGCTGCATGGTCAGAGAGGATTGTTTAGTAATAAACAGAGACATCACCAAGGCTTAACTACACAACCAAAAATTTCTATGGCATATTTTATCCACAGAAGTAGGTACTTCTCCCTCTTACAATTACACATAATTATTAAAGAGCTTTAGATTTTAAGATGTGTTGCAGCATCTGAAATTTCTCCTCTTCTTACAGAAGATGGAATCACAGAAGTAGCACAGCAATCACCCAGTGGCCCACAGTGAGTCAGCAGATGAATTAGGAACAGGACATTTCATGTTTCAGTCAATTATCTATTAATTTTCTATGCACAATTGAAGAACTAAAATCTGAACAGCTATTCTTGAGAACCAAAGATACTGGTACCTTCAGATACCCAGCTACCTGCTCACAGGCAGGGAAAAAAAAAGCCAGAATGGAGTAAGTACTGGTCTGAAACATATTTGTCTTGCAGCGTGCATATGTACAAAGGGCTGGTATGTATGTTGGATGTTCTGGAAGTGTCAATATGGCATCATACATCAAACCACTTAAATCAAAACATACCTAAGTATCTTAAAATCCAAAATGTTCCCCTTATGGTTTTCTCCTTCTATATGACATACTTACGGGTTGCACTTTTTCTTCTTCTCTTCTCCATAAGCCAGGTTCTTGCATCCCTTGATGCAAATTTCCAACAAGCAAGCCTTGAAGATGTATCTTAAAGCAAACTCTATTTCTCCTGTGATGTTAGCTTTGCCAAAATTGCCGGACTCAGTGCATGTGCTGTTAAGACTAAACAAGCTTCCCTAAGAAAAGACAAACATTTGGAAAAAGGAGCTTCAGATCAAACAGATAAAAAACATTTACTTTCCTCAAAGATCAGTGTCTTATAGACATGACTGTCAAGCTACTGCAAATCACAAGATTTAAGGTAACCCGTATAAAACATTCCATTACTTCTGTAACAACACTGAAAAATTATCACTGTAATTGCAGTTCTACTGGTTTGCTCTCTTCTCTTCACTAAGGTCTCTAGGCTAAGAAAATGCTTTCTTAGGTAAGTTCTAGATCTAGAAAATGTCTTCAGATAAAACTGGTATGTTGCTTCCCATGAGAAAAATGGGATAAGTGTCTGAGTGAAAAAACCCTCAGAAATCTAAGACCCTAGAAAACATTGAATTAGTCTGCTTTTAATATACAGCTCAGAGTAGGATACACTGCCAAGACATTAGGTTATATCATGCATTAAAGGAAACAAAAGTGGGCTGCACGTCCAGTAAATACTTTACAAGATGCCCCAATTCTGCATAAAAGTGACATACTCCATACTGCAGATCATTCAGGAAAGGCCAAAATATGAAGACTTCCAGCTGTCATATGCTGGTGCATAAAGACGTTTCCTTGCTCACCTCGGCCACTTTGTTCTCCTTTCATCCACTTTCACCTTTGGGGCAAAGGTTTGGATGTTGTCCATCCACATATATAAAGAGCACTTGTGTCTAGCATTTACAGAAGCCATGACACTGCAACGAAGGAAGAGACTATATTCCTTTCTGTGGCCAAGCCCAGATGTGCAACTTTATGGTGCTATCTAGCCTTCACTATAACACATTATAAACTTAAAATAGATTGGTCTCCATTAATTTATAATGATATTCTTTAAGGTGAGCCCTAGAAACTTTTTACGTAGCATATGTCACGAAGACACAATTGGTGTTGTGATTAATCTCACAGCAACATTGCCCTAGATTGCTAAAATATCTGTGTTAGATCACTCCTCCCTCTGAAAATAAACACCAACCCACACAGGACTGGTTAACAAAGGAGAGTTCTGCATTGCACAACCCAGCAGCTGAGAGTGCAGAGTAGTGTTTATAAGATCATATCTCTCTTCCATGTAGATGCTTGTCTTCGTTTGTGTACCTTGCCAAACTTTCGATTCACACCAACAGATTTATTAGATTAAAGCAGCTATCTGCTCTATTTTATAAGCTCTAAGTTACACACATACGTGTCAGAAGAAGGGACAGAGTGCTTACTGAGGGAGCCAAAAGAAATGTTAGCGCTGTTTTGACCTGATGCTTGTTGCATGTAATCTTGCTCCCTCCATGAGCTGTGTATCAGTGGAATCAATCTCTCTTGCAGCTTTGTTCAGCTCTGCTCTTTCACTCACTGACATATTTTTATTCGCCTGACAGAAAACACTTATTTTCTACCAAAACTCTTTATGGCAAAGCAATGCAAACAGATTTTTGACTTAGCTCGTATGTCCTAAAAAACGTTCTGCAAAAGTCCTTAATATTTAGTCCACAGAACACCTTATGTACATGGAAGGGCTGATGGCGCTCTGATTAATGATGTTAGGAGCTAACATCACTACCTATGTCTCCCACCTGATCAGGTGTTACATACATTCAACGTAGACTTCACCATCCTTTTGGTTCAGCGAACAGGGATTTAGCAATGACTTCATGTATTGTACTTCTGCTGGGATGACTGAAAGCAATGCCATCTGATATTTTGCAAGATACATTTTTATAGGCCTTCAACATCCAACACTTACCCATAAAGGGAAGTCTAATGGAATTTGACTTTCCTGTTTATAAGGCAGGAGAAAATATTTCAGTTTTGAGCTTGAGATGTCTATAGCCCAGTTCAAATTGTTGTCATTAGAATCACAAATATCATCCAAAACTGTTATCCCTTTGTCAGCTTAACACCTCAGACCCTACAGTGCAGTGAGTTACAAGTAAGCATCAAGGTCCCTGTGTGTGTTTATGCTTCTCTGTAAAGTGATTAGGTTGGTTTAATTTTGATTCCTTAAGTCATTTCAGTTCCCTTCTTTACATCATCAGTCATGAATTCTTTGGATACTTCACCCTGCTTAACCTCATCACTAATACATAGAAATTAGCTTCCACAGTTAATCATAGAGGCTTTAAAGCATGTGCTGAATTCATTTATAACCAGCTTCCTTCTCTCTCATTTGCAGTATTCAAAATGCCATCCCTCAGAGGATGATTCAATGTCATCCCTTAAGTCTATGGACTGCTCCCCTGGCTTCCATCACTGTCAGTTTTCTCTTCATTCACTGACATTCTGACATTTGAATTTCCACTGACATTTCCAATACTACAGTTCTTGCAGACTCACAAAACCCTCCTGTTAAATGAAGCTTGAAGAGAAAAAGCTAACTACTGGGTTAGAAAGTACAATGTTCATAATCCCAACCCTAATATAAAATAGGAAATATGTTAGTTGCATTTGCAAAATTCAAAAGAAGCTGCTCTATCAATTATTCATTATTAATGTATATATCCATCTACCAATTATCCATTATTACTTTGATTTGGCTTATAGTTCAAACAGTTCAGTGTTACTATGAGGACTGTGCCAAAGGCAGTCAGTCTTTCATCAGATACAGACTCAAGTAAAAGTCTTCCTTCATTTTGTTATATAATCTGAAACACACCAACATTTTACACAAGATTTTATATCTGCTCCCTTTGCACACCTGCTCTGTTACGTTTCACCCTTTAACTTACATGTTTTCTGCCATCACAGAAAACTGCATCACTTGTGGGACTGGTCGTTAAGTCTTCTTCCTCCTTGCAATTACTTTTGGTCAGAAAATCACTGTCATTTTGTGCCCCAGTGATGAGCTGTTGCAGACTGGGTGTACTTATCATCTGTAAGAAATTCAGAAAGCAATTTGATTTACTTTTTCTTTAATTTAATTTCAGAAAAATATCCCGATACCTCCAGGAACACTATCAGAAGAGAATTCAGTAAAAAGCTAGAGTTGGCTCTGATCAACGTCATGCAGGTGGCACACTTTCAAAGGTAATGTAGTTACTTAATTTAAATGCTGATTTATAACTCTCTCATCCCAGCTAGTAGTATAGCCATTACATTCATAATTTTCTAAAATCAACATACCACCATCTAATCTAAGGTTCACCACCACAGCAATTACTAGCAACAGTCTACTAATACACACCAAGAGCAGCAACATACTAATAAAAGGTCTTATTAGCACTTAACAAAACAGTAATTTCGGAAGAAAAAAAGATATTCTTGCCTCCAGGAAATTGAAAATAGTATTTTGCAATTTGCATGACACATGCCCAAGTTTACCTACGCAAGAATGAATGTAAGTTGAAAGAGACTCGAAAATAGAAACTGACCTGCAAGTTCTTATTCAGCCTTGTTTACAGAAAAAGTTTCTATTTCCAAAGTTTTCTTGGCTTTGTTTTGAGTAAGTCCATTCACCTTTCCAATTTTCTCATGAAAACCCTGATAACTTCTGAAAATTTAA